GGCGGCGGCGGCGGCGGCGACCTCACTTCCGGACCTGTTGCGCGGTCCAGACGGCGGGAGCGCGCCAAGGGGGCCGCGGCGCTGTCGGGTCGGCTAGACGGAGCCTCCGCTTGGACAAGGGTACGTGTGAACGCGCGGGTCGGGCGTGGGAGGGAGGAGAGGCGGCGGGGGCTGACGGCGCTCTCTCTCTCCCCCCCTCCCGCCAAACCCCAGCGGTGCTCCGGTTTCTTTGCCGTGCGGCTCACAAGCTGCACCTGTTGCCCTGCTGCCTGGCCAGGCGGGCGCGAGTAGATAGCCTCGGGGTACCTGAAAAGGAAAAAGAGGGAAGAAGGAAAAGAAGAAGAGGGAAAGAAAGAAAGAAGGGGAGAAAGGGAAAAATTGAAGGAAAGTAAGAAGAGAAGGAGAAAGAAGCAGGGAAAGAAAATAGAAGAGGAAGGGGAAAGGGAAAAATGAAAGAAAAGTAAGAAGAGAAGGAGAAAGAAGGAGGGAAAGAAAATAGAAGAGGAAGGGGAAAGGGAAAAATGAAAGGAAAGTAAGAAGAGAAGGAGAAAGAAGCAGGGAAAGAAAATAGAAGAGGAAGGGGAAAGGGAAAAATGAAAGAAAAGTAAGAAGAGAAGGAGAAAGAAGAAGGGAAAGAAAAAAAGAGGGGGAAGGGGAAAAATGAAAGGAAAGTAAGAGGAGGAGGAGAAAGAAGAAGGGAAAGAGAAAAAAGAGGGGGAAGGGGAAAAATGAAAGGAAAGTAGGAGGAGAAGGAGAAAGAAGAGAAAAAAGAAGATGAGGAAAAGAAGAAGGAAAAAAGGAAGACCGTCACTTCAGGGGAATTCCCAACGGAAGGAGGCATTGGGAAGATTTAACCTTGGGAGGGAGAGGAAGGATTCCCTGCAGGTCAAGCCAAACCTCCTCCTGCTCCTCCTGAAAACCAGAACATGGAAAAAGGCATTGGGAGAAGTTTCCTAAGACAGACAGATTTGGATCCAGTGGTGGAGGTCCAGTGACCTAGCCGGGGAGCGTTTGGATGTGCTCATGGGGACCTCCTCTGATTTGGGCTCTGCCAGGTCGGACTCTCACTGGGATTTGGGTGGGTGGGTGGGTGGGAATTGTAAGGAAGACAACTGATGGTGTGTGTGTGTGTCATTTTGTCTTTGAATAAAACGTGGAAGTTGGAAAAAGTAGGGACCAAACTTCTGCCGATTGATATAGCAGGTGAAGGAGAAACTAAAATCTTTCCAAGCTGAAATGAACATTAAATCCATATTACCATCAGTGATTTTCTTTTCCCCCCTTTCCTGCCCTCCACTTTTCTTCCTTTGTGGGCTAAATGCAGAGGGATGGGCTTTCTTTTTCATTTATTCCCCCACTGCTTGCAGCTCATGATACATTTGTGGCACAGCCTCAAGGAACGAAATAAAGGAGGATTTAAAAGCATTCTGTCCAAGGATGCATGTTTTCCACGTCGCAGTGCGATCCTAACGTATGGTTACGGACACGAAAATGTGCTCAGGGCCATTCACAGATTTTAGGAGAACCGCGGGACCTCTTCGATATGAACTGCTGTCTGGTCAGAGAGAAGGGGGGGAGGCGGGAATCTGCTCTGCTAGACTTTTGTGAATCCAAAGTTTGCTTAGAGATTATGTTTATGGATTAAACCCCTATTTGCCAGAGGCTTGGACTTTGCACCCGGCGGCATCTTTGTATTTCCCAGCCAAAGTCCAACTCAAAAAATTGCCTTTAAATTAGTCGGTAAAGGAGGTTGGAGGAACCGTATTCTCTGTCTGTGTGGAGGAAAAAGCCAGTTCTGATAGGAGCGTCGGTGAGATTTCTACCATCTGGGCAACAAGATAAGACGAAGAACTTCCTTGCCATCCTATGTGAGTCACGTGCTCTTTGAAGGAGGTGGATTTTACCTATGACCAGTGGAGTAAAGGTGTTCTCCTTGAGGTAGTTATGGCTCTGGCAGAAGCCACTGAAGCCACTGAAATCAAACCCAACTCGCTGAGATTTTCTGCTATCAGCCTGGGGGTGTGACTGTTACTTTCTATAAGGGAAAAAAAAACACCTTTCTGCAAGTCACTTTTACTCTCTTAACCCTGGTCACCTGCTCAGACATTTCTGGCACAGTCTAAAAGTCCTTGGAAGGGTGCATTATAGTGACCGGTAAGTTTTTTGAAAACGGCATAACTTCACGACACAAACAGTGTGGTGTTTCTTATAACTCTAGAATGCCCTGCGCATTATTTTATTCAGCGGTGTTAAGAGATGGTTAGGTTGGAGCTCTCTTCTGTCACAAATGGCTTGGTCAGCAACTACCTGCTCAGTGGCTAAGACGCTGAGCTTGTCGATCAGAAAGGCCGGCAGTTCGAATCCCTAGGACAGGTCTCCTGCCTGAGCAGGGGGTTGGACTAGTTGACCTCCAAGGTTCCTTCCAACTGTTAAGTTACTGTTACCTGCTGAGCCAAGACACGGACGCCGATTTATGAAATTTAGTTTTACCCTTAGTTTGTTTGCATGTCAAAAGTTATGCATTTCTGGACTGTGACACATGCCGTAAGGAAAGAATGAATGGCGAATAAGGTTGTCTTTTTGAGTTCATTTAGTGCGTAACCCCCCCAATTAAATGTGCATAAAGTCACTTTTTTTATAGATAGCAGCAAACCTGTGTGTGTGTCAAAATTGAGGGTTTTTTTTTCCTTTAAAGAATCCTCTTATTTGCTTTCACTTTAAACATTGATCATTTGTTTCCCTTCTAAGCCATATATGGTTTTTTTTTCCAGAATTCCTCTTTGGAAAGACGATGGGTGTGTGTAGATGCAAAGCAGTAATTATATTGTACCTTAGGTTTCATAATATCTGTTTGGATAACATCTGTCTTATTACCTGCTTGGGACCATAAATAGATTGCTTCTTTGTTTTGTTATTTTCCCTGTGGCTTCTTAGTCCTTGTCAACCTCTGGCACAAAGCGTTTCATTAGTGCCAAAATCAGGGAGTCTCTTGATGTAATTCCAGATTAGAAACATTGCTATAATGAACCTTATTTTATTGATTGGTTCTTTTAACACGTATTATTTAAATGAGTTAGTAAGAAAACTGGAGCAAGAAATGGCCAAAAAAATGTAGCTTTTCAGATATATATTTTTTGTACCTTAAAAACACCTTGTTTTAGTTCACTTTGGCTTTTATTTACTAATTTAGAACTTTGTACTTTTAGCAGCTTTGCTCCTTTTATGTCAAAGCTTCTCTTTCTTCTTTCTTTTGGGGTAAGTGATTGAGGAGTGGATTTAATCAGGCAATTGTTTACTTATTGCTCTTGTGTACTGAGCATTTTACGAAGTATTGTGATACAAGGAAATGAAATGCCTCTTTAAGAGCTCACACAGCAGCATTTATTGTTTGGCTAGACCAGCAGACATCTGGATTATACGGGTTTTTTTAAATTACTTTCGGCCTTTTAAATTTTTTTATCCCATCTTTATTACTTTATAAGTAACTGGAGGCAGCAAACATATATAACGACTCCTTTCTCCTCCTATTTTCCCCCACAACAACAGCCCTGTGCGGTAGGTTGGTTTGAGAGAGAATGTGAATGGAAAAAATCACTTTCAGTGAAGGCAGGATTAGAACTCACAGTCCTAGGTTCCTACCAGCACCTTCACCACTGTGGATGCTCCTTGACTTACGACTTTAATGGAGTCTGGAATTTCCGTCGTATATCATGACAGTTGTAAGTCGAGGCACTCGTGACCAATCCAAATACTTTACTTTTGGGGGGCAGTCATGAAGCAAACACAGCAGCCATTAAACAAATACCACTGTTGTTAAGTGAAGCCATGGTCCACAAGGAGCATTTTTTTGCTGGAAACCAGCAGTTTCTGGCCAAAAAAACCCCAAACTGTAAATCACAGCTTTTTGCAAGCAGCTGTAAATCCAGGATAATTTCTGGCTGCCCAAAATGTGATTCGGTGAGTGGGCAGCTATCAGTACTTTAAACCCATGTTGTAAATACATTTTGGAGTTCCATCATAACTTCAAACAATTGCTAAGCAACCAGTTGTAAGTCAAAGTCTATCTGTACGCCAATCTGACTTCATAGGATAGTAATACTATTTCGCAGTGGTTCAGTGGCTAAGACGCTGAGCTTGTTGATCAGAAAGATTGGCAGTTCGAATCCGTAGCGCCGCGTAACAGAGTGAGCTCCTGTTACTGGTCCCAGGTTCTGCCAACCTAGCAGTTGGAAAGCAGGTAAAAATGCAAGTGGAAAAATAGGGACCACCTNAGGGGGAAGGGGAAAAATGAAAGGAAAGTAGGAGGAGAAGGAGAAAGAAGAGAAAAAAGAAGATGAGGAAAAGAAGAAGGAAAAAAGGAAGACCGTCACTTCAGGGGAATTCCCAACGGAAGGAGGCATTGGGAAGATTTAACCTTGGGAGGGAGAGGAAGGATTCCCTGCAGGTCAAGCCAAACCTCCTCCTGCTCCTCCTGAAAACCAGAACATGGAAAAAGGCATTGGGAGAAGTTTCCTAAGACAGACAGATTTGGATCCAGTGGTGGAGGTCCAGTGACCTAGCCGGGGAGCGTTTGGATGTGCTCATGGGGACCTCCTCTGATTTGGGCTCTGCCAGGTCGGACTCTCACTGGGATTTGGGTGGGTGGGTGGGTGGGAATTGTAAGGAAGACAACTGATGGTGTGTGTGTGTGTCATTTTGTCTTTGAATAAAACGTGGAAGTTGGAAAAAGTAGGGACCAAACTTCTGCCGATTGATATAGCAGGTGAAGGAGAAACTAAAATCTTTCCAAGCTGAAATGAACATTAAATCCATATTACCATCAGTGATTTTCTTTTCCCCCCTTTCCTGCCCTCCACTTTTCTTCCTTTGTGGGCTAAATGCAGAGGGATGGGCTTTCTTTTTCATTTATTCCCCCACTGCTTGCAGCTCATGATACATTTGTGGCACAGCCTCAAGGAACGAAATAAAGGAGGATTTAAAAGCATTCTGTCCAAGGATGCATGTTTTCCACGTCGCAGTGCGATCCTAACGTATGGTTACGGACACGAAAATGTGCTCAGGGCCATTCACAGATTTTAGGAGAACCGCGGGACCTCTTCGATATGAACTGCTGTCTGGTCAGAGAGAAGGGGGGGAGGCGGGAATCTGCTCTGCTAGACTTTTGTGAATCCAAAGTTTGCTTAGAGATTATGTTTATGGATTAAACCCCTATTTGCCAGAGGCTTGGACTTTGCACCCGGCGGCATCTTTGTATTTCCCAGCCAAAGTCCAACTCAAAAAATTGCCTTTAAATTAGTCGGTAAAGGAGGTTGGAGGAACCGTATTCTCTGTCTGTGTGGAGGAAAAAGCCAGTTCTGATAGGAGCGTCGGTGAGATTTCTACCATCTGGGCAACAAGATAAGACGAAGAACTTCCTTGCCATCCTATGTGAGTCACGTGCTCTTTGAAGGAGGTGGATTTTACCTATGACCAGTGGAGTAAAGGTGTTCTCCTTGAGGTAGTTATGGCTCTGGCAGAAGCCACTGAAGCCACTGAAATCAAACCCAACTCGCTGAGATTTTCTGCTATCAGCCTGGGGGTGTGACTGTTACTTTCTATAAGGGAAAAAAAAACACCTTTCTGCAAGTCACTTTTACTCTCTTAACCCTGGTCACCTGCTCAGACATTTCTGGCACAGTCTAAAAGTCCTTGGAAGGGTGCATTATAGTGACCGGTAAGTTTTTTGAAAACGGCATAACTTCACGACACAAACAGTGTGGTGTTTCTTATAACTCTAGAATGCCCTGCGCATTATTTTATTCAGCGGTGTTAAGAGATGGTTAGGTTGGAGCTCTCTTCTGTCACAAATGGCTTGGTCAGCAACTACCTGCTCAGTGGCTAAGACGCTGAGCTTGTCGATCAGAAAGGCCGGCAGTTCGAATCCCTAGGACAGGTCTCCTGCCTGAGCAGGGGGTTGGACTAGTTGACCTCCAAGGTTCCTTCCAACTGTTAAGTTACTGTTACCTGCTGAGCCAAGACACGGACGCCGATTTATGAAATTTAGTTTTACCCTTAGTTTGTTTGCATGTCAAAAGTTATGCATTTCTGGACTGTGACACATGCCGTAAGGAAAGAATGAATGGCGAATAAGGTTGTCTTTTTGAGTTCATTTAGTGCGTAACCCCCCCAATTAAATGTGCATAAAGTCACTTTTTTTATAGATAGCAGCAAACCTGTGTGTGTGTCAAAATTGAGGGGTTTTTTTTCCTTTAAAGAATCCTCTTATTTGCTTTCACTTTAAACATTGATCATTTGTTTCCCTTCTAAGCCATATATGGTTTTTTTTTCCAGAATTCCTCTTTGGAAAGACGATGGGTGTGTGTAGATGCAAAGCAGTAATTATATTGTACCTTAGGTTTCATAATATCTGTTTGGATAACATCTGTCTTATTACCTGCTTGGGACCATAAATAGATTGCTTCTTTGTTTTGTTATTTTCCCTGTGGCTTCTTAGTCCTTGTCAACCTCTGGCACAAAGCGTTTCATTAGTGCCAAAATCAGGGAGTCTCTTGATGTAATTCCAGATTAGAAACATTGCTATAATGAACCTTATTTTATTGATTGGTTCTTTTAACACGTATTATTTAAATGAGTTAGTAAGAAAACTGGAGCAAGAAATGGCCAAAAAAATGTAGCTTTTCAGATATATATTTTTTGTACCTTAAAAACACCTTGTTTTAGTTCACTTTGGCTTTTATTTACTAATTTAGAACTTTGTACTTTTAGCAGCTTTGCTCCTTTTATGTCAAAGCTTCTCTTTCTTCTTTCTTTTGGGGTAAGTGATTGAGGAGTGGATTTAATCAGGCAATTGTTTACTTATTGCTCTTGTGTACTGAGCATTTTACGAAGTATTGTGATACAAGGAAATGAAATGCCTCTTTAAGAGCTCACACAGCAGCATTTATTGTTTGGCTAGACCAGCAGACATCTGGATTATACGGGTTTTTTTAAATTACTTTCGGCCTTTTAAATTTTTTTATCCCATCTTTATTACTTTATAAGTAACTGGAGGCAGCAAACATATATAACGACTCCTTTCTCCTCCTATTTTCCCCCACAACAACAGCCCTGTGCGGTAGGTTGGTTTGAGAGAGAATGTGAATGGAAAAAATCACTTTCAGTGAAGGCAGGATTAGAACTCACAGTCCTAGGTTCCTACCAGCACCTTCACCACTGTGGATGCTCCTTGACTTACGACTTTAATGGAGTCTGGAATTTCCGTCGTATATCATGACAGTTGTAAGTCGAGGCACTCGTGACCAATCCAAATACTTTACTTTTGGGGGGCAGTCATGAAGCAAACACAGCAGCCATTAAACAAATACCACTGTTGTTAAGTGAAGCCATGGTCCACAAGGAGCATTTTTTTGCTGGAAACCAGCAGTTTCTGGCCAAAAAAACCCCAAACTGTAAATCACAGCTTTTTGCAAGCAGCTGTAAATCCAGGATAATTTCTGGCTGCCCAAAATGTGATTCGGTGAGTGGGCAGCTATCAGTACTTTAAACCCATGTTGTAAATACATTTTGGAGTTCCATCATAACTTCAAACAATTGCTAAGCAACCAGTTGTAAGTCAAAGTCTATCTGTACGCCAATCTGACTTCATAGGATAGTAATACTATTTCGCAGTGGTTCAGTGGCTAAGACGCTGAGCTTGTTGATCAGAAAGATTGGCAGTTCGAATCCGTAGCGCCGCGTAACAGAGTGAGCTCCTGTTACTGGTCCCAGGTTCTGCCAACCTAGCAGTTGGAAAGCAGGTAAAAATGCAAGTGGAAAAATAGGGACCACCTTTGGTGGGAAGGTAACAGCGTTCCGTGCGCCTTCGGTGTTTAGTCATGGCAGCCACATGACCACGGAGACGTATTCAGACAGCGCTGGCTCTTCGGCTTTGAAGGTGATGAGCACTGCCCCTTAGAGTAGGGAACGAGAAGCACATATGTGCAAGGGGAACCTTTACCTTTTAAAAGAGCAATAGGATAGGAGCTGCGATATTTCTCCCGTAGGTTAATTGATATTTCTCTTCTCAACTTCTGTAGAAGGACAGTAGAAGTGGTCCTCAATTTACAACAGTTTCCTCAGTGACTGTTCGAAGTTACAACGGCACTGAAAAAAGTGACTTATGACCATTTTCCACCCTTATGACCATTGCAGCATCCCAATGGTCACACGATTTGCATCCAGCTCTGGCTGGATTCACACTGTAGTTCTAGGCTATAATGATGGTTTACAACTCGGTATTTTAAGTCCGAACCAAACAAATTGCTGTATCAGTATGCATAGAAACCTGGTAGTGGCTACTTTAGTTTTTAGACTAGAATAGAATAGAATAGAATATAGAATAGAATAGAATAGAGTTCTTTATTGGCCAAGTGTGATTGGATACACAAGGAATTTGTCTTTGGTGCATATGCTCTCAGTTTACATAAAGAAAAATAAAATAGAATATATTCATCAAGAATCATAAGATATAGCACTTAGATTACTAATAAGCAATCAAATCATACTAGGAAACATATAATACAATATAAATTTTAAAGATACAAGCAACATGGTTATAATCATAAGTGGGGAAAGACAGGTACTAGGAAGGAAGAGAAGAATAGTAATACAATCTTAGTAAATTATTTGACAGTGTTGAGGGAATTATTTGTTTAGCAGAGGGATGGCATTTCGGGGGAAAAACTGTCCTTGTGTCTAGTTGTTCTGGTGTGCAGTGCTCTATAGCGTAGTTTTGAGGGTAGGAGTTGAAATAATTTATGTCCAGGATGTAAATATTTTCACAGCCCTCTTTTTGACACGTGCAGTTTAAAGGTCCTTGACGGAAGGCAGGTTGGTGGCCATTGTTTTTTCCGCAGTTCTAATTACCCGTTGGGAGTTTTTGATTTACAGACTAGGTTTCTGCACAGAGCTAAGTTATGATGCATTTTGCGTGCTTGCATAAATCCAGTTTGCAAACCATTGTTTATGGCTGTGGCAGGTTGCTCAAATTCCATCAGGTTTGGACTAGTTTATTTACTTGTTCAACTTCTCTGGCCACCCACTCGCCAAGCTATGCCTCATGGAAAAGCATCACCTTAGAAGACAGCCCAGTAGCCAGGCCTTCCTCGGCACTGCATAAATAAGGCTTGTATGAGGATGCCACCTTTAAAAATCAGTCTTAACATCTAGCCAGGTCTTGCTTTCATTCTGCAACCACTCCCATTCTCACCCCCTGGGTAATTACTCTGCTCTTGCCTCCTTCTCCTCCTCCGTTGGCTGCGAATGGGTGTTTTGGTTTGGCTTGGCAGCAACAGTAACTGTAATTGTAGCAGCGTCCAAATTAGAGCTTCCTTCGTGATTGTTCATGTCAGAAGAAGTCTCATTGGTTCAGTTTCTCTGAGCCAAATTGTGTTAAGGTGTAGTACGTGTTGCTACTGGTACCGAGAGAGCAAGAAATCGGAGTCCTGGGCACATTGGAAAGCTCCTTCATTTATCCACTTATAGGTAAAGGTAAAGGTTCCCCTTGCACATATGTGCTAGTCGTTCCCGACTCTAGAGGGCGGTGCTCATCTCCGTTTTCAAAGCAGAAGAGCCAGCGCTGCCCGAAGACGTCTCCGTGGTCATGTGGCCGGCATGACTCAACGCCCGAAACGGCATGGAACGCTGTTACCTTCCCACCAAAGGTGGTCTCTATTTTTCTACTTGCAGTTTTACATGCTTTCGAACTGCGAGGTTGGCAGAAGCTGGGACAAGGAACGGTACCTCACCCCATTACACAGCACTAGGGGTTCGAACCTCCAGTTATGGTGGTCTACAAATACAGGCAGTTCTTAATTTACGATCAATTAATTTACTAATAGAGCCCAAAACCTCTGTTGCTAAGTGAAAAACATTTGTTAAGGGAATTTAGCCCTATTTTATGACCT